GGGAGTCAGTGCCTAGTGTTTGGCCTCCAAAGTAATTTGGTTTTGTTAGGAAAAAATCTTGGTCTTTGTTAAAAAAAAAAAAAAAAAAGAAAAAAAGAAAAGAAAATAAAAAGGAAAAAAAATGGGGGATACTTGGAAGTATCCTTTAGCAGCGCCCTGTAGCAAACCGGCTGTGAGACTGGGAGTCAGCCAGCCCGAGTTTGAGCTTCACCCCTGCTGAATAATCCTTTGTGCCACCTTAGTGTTTTGTCTCGTTTGCATTGCTCTCCCTGGCCCTCCGTGCTAAACTGCCCTGAGGCATGCGGCAAAAGGCAGTTCCGTCCCAGTGATGCATTACTGCTGTTAACCCACGGGCCTGATTGTGAGCCGCGCTTTCCATCAGCGTCAGTGAGGCGTTCGCTCCCAGAGCAGTCACCCAATGGAGCTCCAAGCTGCTGGGAAGAAAAAGGGACATAGTACTGAGATATTTTATTGTTTCACCTTGCATTATAAAATATTTATCTCAGTGGTACTGTCAGATGCCCTGACATGAAGAATGATATCCACCATCTCAGGCATTCACTGTATTTATATTTTATATTGCTGTTTTTAATACAAAAGTGTTCTTGTACCTGTAATGAGAAATAAATCAAATAAAAGGCTTATGTTGGGGAGGATAGTGGTGTGGCTGATTAAAATTTTAGGAAAGATGGAGGGAAAAGGTATTGAACCAATTGTGGTGCTTGCTTTGATCTGATCATGGTGGTTGATAACCAAGATAGTCAAACTAGAGATGAGCTTATGAAGGATATAAATGTGTTTTTTATTGAACAAAGTAACATTCCAAAAAATGTTCTTTCAAAGGCAACAGGTTCTTTAATTACAGCCTTCAGGGGCATTGTTTGATCACTGTAAATAAGCTGCTTTATTCTGGCTTCTTCTAAAATGTTGGTTTGAGGGGTTTTTGCATTATATTGCATATATCTTTCTCAAATCAAAAAATTCTGATCTCAAGGTTACTTGATTTACATTTACGAAGAGTTACATTTTCTTTGTGACTTGAGTGGGAAAAACAAAGTTATTGTTTTACAACAACAAATAAATGTTTAAAAAGTGTATTTTAATTTTATTTTTCAATCTATTGTGTAAGGGGGTCCACATTACACAGCTGAAGTAAAATATGGCTCTCAGTGTCATATTGTCACAAACTGAGAATTTTCAAAATGTTTTAAGATTAATTATCATGGCTTCTAAAGGAAAAAGAACTTTTATTATCCTTTCTGAAAGCTGTGCAGTTTCCCTGGCTCCCTTTTACCAGCACAAATATTTGCTGCAAGTGTTTAGGTAATATTTTTCTTGTCTGAATGTAATCTTCATTGTATTATTCCAGGCAAACTGCCAAGCAAGGGCTAAAATCAGGACCAAAGCAATCTAGTTGCAGACAAATATATAATTAAAATCAATACTGTATGTGCAATTGCACCCCCAAAAATGTGGCTGGCAGATTTTAATTTCATTTTTTTAAAAAAAAACTAGTATTGATAAAAATGTGGCTTCTGCAATCATGGTCTCAGTCAGAAATTATTCACCCAACCTCTCACCGTCATAATCTTTCAACCTTTTGGCCTATTTCAAATAAATCTGATAATATATATTTCACTATTATAAATTCACTATGATAAGTTCACTATGATGAGTTGGTCTCTGATGTCTTTAATTGGATGGAAAATGTGGTGGCATATCTCCATTATTCCATGGTTATATGATCTATCTATCCAACCTCTCTTCTGGAAATGAAAAGTACTATCTTATGGTTTTCACTGGTGATATTACAAAGCACTTTGTTTGCCAGTGGATTATGTACCTATGTTAATTTCTTTGATGGTAAGACAATAAGATCCCTTGATTTTAATTTTCTTGGGGGGTTTTGTGGTATCACTCTGTTGCAGACTAAATCATTAAATATTCTTCAATAACAGTTTTTTGAAAACTTTAGCCCCTTAACTGCTCCATTCATGAGGGAGAGGTTGTGGAAGTTGCCTACTCAGACTTCAGGAAAGCCTGTGGCACAGTCTTCCACAACATCTCTTGGGAAAAGAGATCAGCAGCCCACAGCTTGGATAAGTGTACTCCTCACTGGATATAAAACTGGCTGGATGGCCAAGACCAGAGTAGTGGTGGTGAAAGAATGACAAGAGAGACATTGAGGTGCTGGCGCATGCCCAGAGAAGTAAAATGGAGTTGGTGAAGGGGATTGAACATAAATCCTTTCAGGAACAGCTGAGGGGGCTAGAGAATTTAAGCCTGCAGAGGATGAGGTTAAGGGGAGACCTTATCTCTCTCCAAAACAACCTAACCTGTGGTGAGGTGAAGGTCATTCTCTTCCCCCAGGCACCCAGTGACATAACAAGTGCCATAGGAGGCTCATCTTGAATACTGGGAGTAAAATGTTCACTGTAAGAATGGTTAAGCATTGGAACAGGCTGCCCAGGGAAATGGTGGAGTCACTACACCTAGAAATTTTTTAAAAGTTAACAGACATGGCACTTCATGATCTGTATTAGCAACAGCCAGCCTCCTGATGGGAGCTGTAGCAATTTCCACTGAGACAGCTGAGTTAGTCTGTGTAGAATTGCTAAGGCACTGCAGAGAGCAAACAGCTATGCACTATATTTACAATAAGAAAACCAGGTTGTTCTTTTTTGTTAAAGGGCAGCAGCTCTCTTGGTCTTCTGCTCAGTACCAGAATTGTGGAAAGCGTGTGTAAACAGCATGTTTCTTCACCTGGGACTGGTTGATATTTGAGTGGCACTATAATCCAGAATATCTCTGAGTTAGTCCTCATCCTGGTGTGCAGCAGAAAGCCTGTTGGGTGAGTCTGGAATCTAAGTACAGCAGAGCCCTTAAGCCTGTATAGGGTCCTCAGGAAACCTGGGAATGTTGTCCCATCCAGCCTGTGAAAAGCATCTTCCAGATGTTTTTTTACTTTATTTTTTCAACCAAGATTCCTTCTCCAGAGGGTTAAAACCCTACATCTTCTTCAGGGAAGATGAGGATTTTCTGGGGTCCATCTCAGTTGTTGAGAGCATTGCACAAGCAACCAATAGCTTTGTCTGGACACATACTCACAACAGAGCACACTTAACTAGCTGCTCAGCATTACTCTCCATCATTCTCCTGTTGTTTTGTGGTCTCTGTTGAAGCTTTGGGTAGGTTTAGGCTAAAACAAGAATAAGTTATGCTCAGGCTGGGCTCCAAGTGACTTGTCTTGAGGTCTAGCAGATAATCAAGCGTATGTCATTTGCAAGTGCTGCAGCAGAGTTAATAAATAAATCACAGACTCAGTAAGAGATGCTTATCAGTCCAGGTCTGGAGTTGTTCTTGAATAAACAATAGGAAGATCAGTCAGATAATAGTTGGGTTTTTTTGGTGAGACACCTGGGTGGAAAAAAAAAGCTAAGCTGTTGGGTTTTTTATTTCCCTCCCTCCCAATATCCCCACCAGCTACAAGGAGAGCTGTAAAGAGTGTTGCTCCTCAAGGGGAGTTCTGCCAGCAATGATGATATTTCAGTACAGGCCTTGTCAATTATTGATTGCAACTATGTAGCCAGAAGTCAGGTTTTAAATATTTCTCATTGCCTGATACCATTCTACTTACCTAGGTTAGGAACAAAAAAACCAAAAAAAGACTTTATACTGAACAAGATGTAAGTAAGGGCTTAGAGCAATTGTGTGAAGGAAAATCTGTCTTAGAGGAGATAAAGAAAAGGGCAAAATTAACCCTGAGAACCAATTGGGGAAGGGAAAAATGGAAATGAGAAAGAATGCATTTTGGTAGCTGAACCATATTAGTAGGAGAGCAAATAAATGCACTTACCAATGCATTGGGAGTGGAAATGAGAACAACGTTTCTCACCACAAGGGAAATGATACTTTGAGATGAGATTTCAGAAAGGGCATATCCATATCACTTCAGGACAGATCTTAGTTAGTTCTTAGGAGGAAATGCACAGAAGAATGGAAGCTAGTATTAAAATCATCATTTCTGTTGTTCTATGTTCAATGCAATTCTATTTACAGATGGAACACCGCGTGTTTACTGCATTGTCTTTATCTATAGTTAATTGATCCCATGCTCCAAAACTTCTGCCAATCTTCTGCAGAGACCAGGAGGATTTTTCCTTCTTCTGAATAACTTGGCTTTTGAGTTTTTTGGCTTTATTCTTCTTTCTGTGCACCTGCTACTGAAATAGTAAAGGTTGACCACAACCAGAATGGAGAAGGGAGGACTGGTTTTGGCAGGACAAGATACAGTTCCAGGAAGTGTCTGAGGAAGTGATAAAACACTTGGCTGGATTGCTTTGTTCCTTTTCTCAAAGCTCTGAGCATGACAGATAAAAAAGAATTTTTTGCTGCCAGATCAGAATCAATACGTTCATTTCAACATGGAAGTGGGATTGCCATTGTTAATTTGCTAGTTTTCCAATTTCTTATATTTTCTTCAGGTCTTCAGTTACCACAGGAAGCTCAAGTGCTAATTGCACTTAGATGTCTCTTAGATGTCCTCTTCCTGGGTACCTTCAATGGTCTGTGGATTTCTGTTTCTTGCTGTAGTCTGTTGTTTCCTACGGGATATGCTATGCCCTGTGCAGTGCAGTGGCGCCTTTAGTGCCTGAGCTCCACTGCCTGCCGGTTTCAGGAGACAGCTCCTGACAACCCAGGTAATCCTATGTTCTACCTCTACCTACACTGGTCAAATGTTTTGGTCTAATAATTTGGAAATGTAGATTCTTCAGACCTTGTTCTCCTCGCATGCATTGAAGAATCATGTAAACATAGAGCTGATTGGTCAGTGAAGTCACAAGATGGTTTTTCTCATAACCTCGAGGAAGCAAAAGAAAATTAAGTTTATTATTTCATGTTTACGTATGACTTTTGGCTTCACTCAAAGAGGTAAAGATTCTTGACAAAGAGAGAAAAAGCTAAATAATGCTTTTCTTTCCTTTTGTATTTCTTTTCAGGCTCTGTCTATGAGATGTTTGGAAACGAATGCTCCCTGTCAACAGAAGAAGTCATTAAAGTTATTGGCTTCAAAATTAATAAGCTCATAGCAAGTATCTGTGAGAAGAATGAAGTCAGCCAGTTTTCAGCCAAAGTGGAATTACCACTAAATTTTCCTGGTATAGTATTTCATGCATTCATGTTTTTGAGGAGTTATAGCCCTGAGTAATCACCTTTGTTCATTTTATTGATTTGTTGTCTTGATTGATATTTGAGGTTACAGCTCAGCTGTCAGAAATACAGATTTTATCAGATGATACAAGACACAGTCAACTAATTTTTAAATTTCAACTCTTACAATCCTTTATCAAACCTGAATAGAAATTATTAAAATTATAAAGTTTTGTGGTAATGTTTTCTGCATTTAGAGTCCCTTGGCGTAAGAATTACAACAAAAAATCTTCTTTTCATTTACTTATGACTTTTCCAAACCCTGTCTGAGCTGAAATCTTCCTTGTCGTGTTCTCAAACTATAATTAATTTACTATTAATAAATCTGTATTTTATTATTTTAGGTACAAAATATTTTCCATAATTTGTTTTCAATACTGCTTTTATTTTAATGATTTATTTTAACTATGGTGGCCAGAGTTACTCCATGCTTGGAAAGAGGATTACAGGGGAATAGATGTGTTTTTCTGCTTAAAAACCTCTTTAATTGTTCTACAGTGAAATCCCAACTTTGGATTTTGGAGTATGGACTTCAAATTTTGGCATGTGGTACTGACTTGTTACTTGAATCGTATCTTCCTCTCTTCATGTTGCCCTGTTAAGGAGAGCTGGCCGAGTACTGAACCCAGTACTATTTCATCATGTGTCATATTTATTAATTTTTGAATTTTACTCTCAGTTCTTTTACTGTTAGGGCCCAGCAGAGTTGAACAGGGAAGTGAGTAAAGCACAGAGGGAGAAGTGTATATCCCATATGTGGGAAGTGTAGGAGGCAAACTATTTTAGGAAAATGGTAGAAAAAGTTTTGACCTCAGAGCAGGACAGAAGGATGAAGACTTCCCATGCAAAGATCAGAGACTGGAGGCAGATGCAGGTGATTTCAGCAGCAGAGGAAGACTTGCAAGTAGGGCAATTCCTATGTTGGGAGTCTTGCAGGCAGCAGAGGTAATGGGAGTCCCTTGGGGAGAGGAGATGAGCAAGCTGAAAAACTGCATGAGGAGGGCAGGGGGAGTGGGAAGGAGCCTGGGGGAGAAGCTGTGGGACACTAGTGTAAAAGAAACACTGGTACAGAGCACACACAGTACACAACAGACTTCAAGAGTCTGAGATTGTGCCCAGGACTCACTTTGGCCATCAGCCTAGCTAATGGACTGAATGAGGTTACAGTTCTGTACAAAAGAAAAAAAAAAAACAAAAAACAAAACCCCCAAACCCTACATATTTAATTATCACTGTATTGTACTGAAAGCACACGGGAAATTAAATTGATGCTGCATGGGGAACATAATATGAGTGTTTTCTAGTGTTTGAGTGCTTGACTTAATAACCTCATTGATGCTCTTCTAAAGTCTTGCTGAGTATGCCAGAGTGTGTGCACATGCATGTATAAGGTTTAGGTTATGCCAGTATCCAAGCTGGGATGTGTTTTTTCTGCAGAGGGAGACAAGACACACTTCTTGAAACAAATAAAATGTAAAAGTCCATGAGAATGAAATGTTTCATATGAATTCTACAGAAAAATATCTTCTGCTATGCCTTTATCTGACACCTCTAAAATACAGATTTCACCCTGAAATAGTTGTGTATATATAACTTTCTCCCCTCCCCCTCCAGTAGATCCTCAATTTTCTTTCACATTTTTCTTATCCTGTGAATCTGAATGGTTTCTATGACCACTTATTAAAAGACTTTTTTTTGGAATGCCATTTGAAAACACTAGTAGGACCCAGATGTAGAGATCAAAGACCTTTTAATTATCTGTGGCTATCTAGAGATATTGAAATATGACTCTCCTGTGAACTCTCAAGACACTTAGTATTTCTCTTGTAATCCAAGTTTCTCTGACATTATTAAAATTTCTTCTATCTCTAAAATACATACACCAATAGAAATATATTCTAAATCTTGATTGGCATATGAGGTTGAACATTTGAATCCTAAAATATCCAACACAACAGAGTGATAAAAGTAGTCATAAATTTATTAATGTCTGTTAGAACAGAAAGACTTGTGGTTTCAAGCACTTGAACCGGGTGAATCGGGATTTATTTGCATTCAAGTGATCAGTTTTACAACTTGGCATTTGGATGCTGTTGCCCTACTGAGTACATTTTCAAATTTGATCTAATCACTACAATTTTCATGCATAGTTATGAACTCTCCCAACCAGTGTTCTAGAAAACTGGGTTATTTCACTTGAAAAATAAATTCAGAGTTCATTTTGCTGAAATTTATCATTATTATCCTCCGCATGATGGGTATTACTGAACAGCAGCACTGAAGAGGGGCATAATGACACTTCTTATTAGCCCAACAGGGAGCACCTCTTTCCTGTTTTTCTCTGTATATGTACTCTTATGTATTCAAGAGCTATTTGGTAAGACATAAATTTGTCATTTCTCTAATTTAGTTCTTAGCTGACGAATGATTCTGCTCTGCAGAGTCAAGATTTCCCATTCTCTTGCTCTTTCTTGACCTTTTCCCTTTTCACTTTATTACATACACGTGCTAAGCTCTAACTGAAACATTGTACATGAAACATGGCTTGCCCCCATCTCCTGAACAAAGTGCAGAACTGAATTGCAGATGATCTTATTCACACTGCCTTTGACTTAATTCAATAAAAATACTCGCAGGTCTCCAGGAGGCTGACCCTGTATTTACATTGTATGTACAGTGCCCTCTTGCCTGTGTTGATGCAAAGAAATTTTTTGCTTTGATGCTCTTTTCCATTTCCTTTGCCATGAGTTCTTTTGCATGCCATGGGCTCATGTATCCTTTCACTGCGTGCATGCTGGCACAAATGTGCAATGCTCCTATTTAGGTTACTCTGGGGATAGCAGCTCTGACAGTGAAGAACTGGGCTCATTGGCTTTAAACGAGCCTTACTTTTTGTCTTTCTGAGCATATTTGCAGTCTTCAGAACTCCTTTTTTTCTGCTCTGGCAAATCAGATTCTTGATAAAGGCCTAATCTGCCCTTTGCATTAGAGAAACCGCTTCAACCGCAAGTTCACTATCTGTGTTATTTCGTTTTATCCTCATTCTAATTTGTTCTTTTTCATGCCTCAGAGGGCCAAGCTATTCTTTCTGTGCTCATACACTGGGTAAAAAAATAGAAGTCTGCTGTTACTCTAGGCACTTCAATGGCTACATCTAACCACATTTTGAAATACAATTTTCACTACTAGCAAATTAGCAGACAGGTAATTTGCACAACAACTGAATTGTTTGCCAGCACAAATGATTACATTTCATTCTGTTGTGTTCCTTCCTCTGCAAAAAACATTACTGGGCTGCCCCTGTTCTCATGAGGGCCCTGATTGCCGCTGCTGCTCACTCCTACGTGGTCTGACAGACACATAGCTGAGCATGACTGCCCCTTTGAGTACATCTTCAAGTCACTGACCACACAACAAACCTGTGAGAGAACAGGGGTTAGGCATTAAAAGGCTCATCTCACTACTAGGTGAGGGAGAACTGGCCTTTGGGACAGCATGAGAGGAGGATGCTGAAAGAGAAGAGGGAGACAGTGGGTGTTGGAGGTGGAGGAAAAGAGGAATAACAATTAGGTCATCTCCAGAGAAGGTAGAAACTATGCTCCTCCCATCCTCTTGCTTTACTTGGGGAACAGAAACTGCTAGTCTGGGACAGATGATCTGTTCTGCTCTCCTTTTTTCCTGAAGGCTGCTTGCTACTCTACCAGGCAAGCCTAACTCGGTTTTCTCAGCTTTCTGTGGGGGAAAGAGAGTAAAATACTCTTTTCCTTCAGGACTCTAATTAAGACTGAAAATAGGAAGACTATAAAGCTCCAGGGTGGTACATTTTACACTGCAGCCAGTAAAAGAGAGCTGCATATACTACTCTGTAAAAAGGTGATAAAAATATCCTTCTATCAAAACATACTTTCCCATAGCACATTCAGTCTTGTGATCCTCTGGCTATGTTTTTTCTCTCATACCAGTGAAATAATTTTCTCAGATTCTCAAACTCTCTCTGTCTCAATTTGTACACCAGTTAGTAAAACTTCTAGAAAAGACGGGCTGATGATATTTGAGGCTTACTAATTATCGCATTATGTCTAGACAGATACTTCATCTAGTGAAAAGTCACTAGGTACAGAGGTTTCATGGAGTGGAATGCTTATATTTATTTTCCTGTAGTATTATTATATATGGACATAGTTCTTCTTGTATGACTGTCTTATTTTCCCCCAAACCATTGGACATCAGTACAGTTTGGTTGTAGACCAGATTGCATTAGAAAATATATCTATAGGAAAATAATGCCAGATCTTGATAAACCAGATGGACTTTTTTTCCAAATTTGTTATTTCCATCTGTCTTTCCCCCTTACAGTCCACCAAGATCTCTTGGGAAAGTCTAACTGAATTTGATTCAGTTGTTTTATGATTTATGAAAAAGTACAAAAATATTTTTGTTTGACCTCAAAATGTCCAAATTTTAGTATCTCATACTTGCCATATGTCTTCTCCTCCTGGAGGTTTCCTTTTTATCTTAGATTTTGAAAACATTTGTTTTTGCAATTTTCTTCACAGTGATTTTAATAAGGCTCTGAATTGTTCCAGATAATATTGTTTGGTGTTTTTTGTGGTTTTATTTTGGTTTTTACATATAAATGTGTATATATATATATATATATATATATATACATATATATATGTGTGTTTTATTTTGGTTTTGCATATGTATGTACCAAGGAGAGCATTTATGACAGGATACCATGGCAGAATATGGCAGTGACTTCCACCCAACATACCAAAATAGCCTTTTATGTATTTACCTGCATTCCATATAGAGAGAAAGATACAGAACATTGCATGCTCATAGCCACTCAGAGGTGGCTGCTAGGTGCCTTCATGTCAGGAGTCTTATCAATACAGAAGGTAAACATGCAAGGCCACATGGCTCTTCTTTTGCCCAAGCAAGCATTCTGTCACCAAAATTTAAAAAAACCCAGCAGAACAGACGGCAAACATTTTTTTGTTCCCCTCCTTGACAAAGCCAGTCTGCCTGGGCCAAGGGGATAATCAGGTGCTTAGTTTTGTATGAAATCTGGTAATTATGCTCCCATATGACACCTGCTTTCCAACCTGGGATGCTCATCGGTTTGCTGCTGAAATAATTGCCTTCCAAATAATTTTGTTGGCACAGGAAAACTAGTAGCCTGAGACTATTGTCAAACTCATAGAAGAGAAGAATGTTTCTCATACCTGTATGCTGGCAAGTATTTTCAACTGGAAGTGGTTTTTAGCAGTTTATGGAGGCTTTTCAATACAATTCAAGGAGGTCTGTGGGCTGCATACACTTGCTCCTGTATCACAAGGGTAAGCATAGTTACTACCTTTGGGACACACCATAAGTTTTTTGAATATCCTTTTTAATGAAGAATATTCCTATTTGCTTTCTCCCAGCACTGCCAGGAGATGACATCCTTCTTGTGCTTGCAAAGCATGATACTAGAACACTGTCTTTTCCATAGTTTCAGTTTGTCACTGGTGCCTTGTCGCAGCTAGACTTTCTAAATGCTGATGAACCTGTTTGTGTTGATCTTCACTGACATGCTCCAGTGGTGATTAGGACTGTGGCAGATAACTTCCTCACTAATAATTGTGTTAAAAATAGCAGTGAGAAACATCACAAGTATCAGTGGGAAAGAAATGTGTGTTGAAGTTGTACTTTGTACATTCATGCGTCTTCCTTGCAGCCCAGGAAAAAGCCTGGAGTTTTTTCCTGTAGGTTTTCCTACAGTGAGGACATATATGAAGAGGATACATTGACACAAGGGTACTGGTTTCACACAGGAAAAGCTGGCTGTCATACAGACAACTGTGAAGGCACAGAACTATAGAAAGAAGTGACAATGGCACAACTGGTGACTGTTTCTGCAGCAGATCAAATAGGCTATTACTGCTTAGGCTACTGATACCCTCAGAGGTATTAGTTCCCAGAGTTACTAGTGGCCACATGTGACACTCAGAACCCAACATGCCCAATCTGGAGATGAATTCAGTTAAAAGCTACTCAAGAGACAGAACCTTAATTATATCTTCTTGAACGAGAGTGGTGCTAAAGTTGCAAAGTGAAAGTGTGGGGTTTTGTAACTGTGAAGCCAGAATCACAGCAATCCTGTAGCCAGAACCATCTGTCCTGTCCAATCCACCCTCCCCCCAAAAATATTAAAAACGGATTTTGTGATAAAAGTAATTATTTGATACATTATCTTTAAGAAATACAATCTTAGGGACACCCTGATACCATGCAGGGCCCTGATAACATGCAGGGCCCTCAGTTGTGTTGATTATGGTCAATAATGAAAGTTAGTAAGGGAAAAGATGTGGAAGAAAATAGCAGCTTGCTTATTTTGAAGAGAAGCAATATCCCCTGATACAATTTATTAAACAAGCCCACAATCAAGGGAGGTCTAAGGAAGAAAATTAGTGTCTTTCCAAGATCCAACAGCAACTGTGTGTTCTGGCAGCATTCCACCTTACTGAAATCTAGGTGTGGGTTGGAACATCCTGCCCTTGGCTGGGTAAGACAACTGGGTAGGACATTTAAAACCTTGCAGACATGGCTTAAACTACTCATGGGATTTGAAGCTGCCATAAATGTGTCTTTAGTGGTACCAACCAGGCTCCTTGATTCCCCATCCCATGCATCCTCCTTAACAGCCTTAACATAAAATGGAAGTATACCTTTACCACAACGTGCCCTCTGGTCCAGAGGAGTCAATACTGTGGAGGAGCAAGGCCATAGGATTTTTGCTGGTTGGCTTTGGCAGACAAAGGGAGAAAAGGCACAGTGTCTCCCAGGGAGCTTAGCTTCTTTGTCACTGTAGTTGTAGCTATTCATTTATTTGTGGCTAGCAAACTTGGCCTGGAAATAACCTCTATTCTCCTCCTATACTCACTCGAAAGCAAGTTTTTGTCAATGTCTGTCTCAGGAAGCTGCACTGCAGTTCCATTAGGCAGCATTCACAATGCTGGAACACCTAGTGAAGAAGACAGCTGAACCACACAGTTCGGCTAAGACCTGCTTTTTAGTCCTCTCAACCCTCCAGTTCATCTTCCTTCATGAAAACCCTCATGCAAATAGAGAAATGTACACATTTTTCTTGCAATGGAAACTCCTAATGAGACAGATCCAAAGGGCATGATTAACATGAAGTAATAATGTCCCTAGGAGATAGGGAAGCTCAGATACAGCTTCTGCCTTGCAGAACTTCAGCATTTTAATTGCCTTGTGATGTCTGGAGTGCTACAACACCCAGACTTTGAATTAATCCAGCTGGTGGATTGGGCTATCAGATATGCTAAAATCTATTTGCTCTTTTTTACCTGTAGGTGCTACTCTTTCATTTGGGAATACCTTTAAACACACTTGACCAAGGAATTCCCAGTCTGTGTGTGGAAGGTTACATAGCACTGATGTTCAGGCAAGAAACTTATCCTGCATGAACTGATCACACTAATGTCGTGTTTCCTCATACCACATCTGCATTTAGCTCTCAAAGGCTGGTTTTCTGAGAAGACAGATAGGAATTAGGATAATTTTTCTCTTTTCTGTGGCAAAGAAAAATTTTACTGTGGGCTAAGTATGCCATATGTCAGAACTTAGACACAAAGAGTTAATTCCAGCTGCCTATACATTGTACCATGCAGCTGATATTACCTCAATAGAGTCGTATTTCTAGCAATTGAGCTATCATCTATGAATTATTTGATGTGCTTTGCTCCCCCTTTTTATAACATTCACAGTCTAAAATCTGGCATGACTTTCCTTGTGTATTTCCCTTTTTATAATTCAAGTTTTCTGTTCTAGGTCTTTATAAAGTTGTGGCAGATAAGACTCCATATGTCAGCATTGAAGAGATTGTAAGAAAAGTCTCTATTGGGCCAACAAGGTTTGGCCATCCTTGTTTCTACAGCACTGAGGATATACAATTGGCAAACTTCACTATCAAGCATGATGAGCAGATCACCTTCAACTCAGTGGAAGAAGTCCATGGAACAATGGCTGTGAACTGTGTCGTGGTCAGAAATAACCAGTCTCATTCCTTTACTTTGCCCCTTTCACAAGAGGGTGAATTCTATGAGTGTGAAGATGACCAGATATACACCCTAAAAGAGATTGCAGAATGGAAAATCCCTAAGTGTAGAAACCGGATTGTTAAACTTTCCAATACTGTACATATGTGGGACTCCTCTAGTCCACTTCCTGAGAATTTTGATGGCTGTTTGATTCTCATGCCTGTCTATGAAGTGCAGGCAGTAACGAAATGTAAGTAGGAATTAAAATCATTGCTCTGTTAAACTCAGTGTAACAAAGTACAAAAGTTCCCTTAAATATACCACATTTTCTTAAAATAGCCATGAAAGATTCAGTTTGCTAAAAATTCCTTATTCATATTTGCTACTAATGTTGGTTTCAAGAGGAAGAAAGATAAAAATAATATTTCCTTTAGTATTTTTTCATCATCTGTTAGTTCAGATTATTACCTTGCATTTCTTTCTGTTGCCATTTTGCTGATCACTAAAACTAAATCCTCACTGAAAATATATTGCATGGTAAAAAGGTTGAGCTTAGGAATTCTGTTCTGTTCCCAGTTTGTGTCTTGGACTTTGGCCATGGAGAAACCTTTTGATCATTTATGGCTATGTCTAGGATGTAGAAAAAGAATAGGGACATACATGTTGCAATACACTTAATTACCATTTACTTTTCAGAATGAGGATGTCACAGAAAGGAAAATCATATTGTTTTATTCTGTTGCAGAAACAAGTATCAACTGTATATAAACACAAAAAATTAATGGGAAATTTCTGAAACCTGTGAGTTTGAGGAAGCAAAAAGATTAGAAAAACCAGTGTCTTTGAAAGTTTGTGCTCTGAGGTTTTATTTTTAAAAACTCTGAAATATCTATGGTGCTAGTTGTTCTACTTGTTCCACCAAAAAATTGATACAGCTGGGTTCTGATTGCAGGATAGTGACTTAGCTTTTGGTAAGGTTTTGCTGCGTGTTACATTTACTAGAAGCAAACCAATGACCTCCATAGAAATTGAATCCGTTCAAAATATGCCGTTCATGAAGATATCAAGCAGGAAACCTTTTTGCAATTGAGCATTTCTCTGTTGAATTATGTAAGCAAATGGACAAAAGAGAAAGAAATAAAAGTGGGCAGAGACTGTTAACACAATATGCCATAATTGTTTTATGTTTACCATAAGACATTCTGCTGCGCTTGCTATGTGATTTAATGTGTGAGTTTGGAAAATATGACCTCGCAAGATAAAGGACTCCATTTGCTGTAACTCGAGCTAGATTCAGGGATCTAGCTCATCTCCTGAAGCTCGATTAACTCAGGTGTATTGCTATACCCACTTAGATATATGTGCAGAATCAACAGGAATTTAATATCCCTGAAAACCTCCAGAAGATTCAGAAATATTTAGTATTCACTTGTCTTCCAATCAGTTATTCCAGTAAGGATTGTATTTGTTGTTTTTATTTTAAGTTTCATGGTGTTCTCAACATTTAAGAAGTATTGCATATGTCCTAAATAACTATTTAATACAAACTTAAAAAGTAGGCTTCATGGTACATGAATAACTACTTTCTCATGGACCATGAAAAATGGATTTTCATCATTTTTAGGAGAACTATAAATAGACACAAGATAAAGTATAAGAAATACTATCCACTATAAAAAGAAAGATTCTTGATAACTGGGATAACTGATTACATTTTCACAGGCTGTGAGCAGGAATCCTCTATACTTCTCATTATTAATAATGAACAAGTTATTTGTGTGGAACTCTCACAAATGCTCATAGAAAGTTTCATTTTCACCAGTCATTTTCCTTTGTTGTCTTCCCCCTGTGGTGCTTAGGTTGTTTATCACCTCAAGGTATCAATGTGACAAAAGCAGAGTTGGAGCAAACAGACCCTGAATCACTGTCATAGAACTCTGTCATATAAAATAAATTTTCAGTATAAAATATTGGTATGTCCTGCTATGAGGAAGTGTGAATCCAGGATATACTATCCCTTTGTGTAGGTCTATACAGAATAAGTCATATTGAAGAGAGTCACTGAATATTATTTGCTTGTTAAATTTTACTGCATTGGTCAGCGATCTGTGGTATCACTGTCTTAGAGCCAAATTCTTAAACAAGCCTTAATTACGTAGTCAGCTTTGTTCTTGGAAGTTTTGCATTCAAAATTTTGCAAGTTCAGTTGTGGTAAAAGAGCTGTTGTTCCCTATCAGATTGTTAAATTAAATGGATCAGTTCTGATAGTGAATGAAACCAGGTGATGCAGAAAAAGATGCAAAAGTTCCAGAGAAGGCCATAATATTACAATTATTTAATTCATAAAAATAACTTACTCTTAGTTATACAAAGGCTTTGCCATTTTGTGAAGTGGTATTATTTCCTAATAGTTACAGATGTTTTAATTATTCTTATAAATATCAAAATACCTTCTTTCTCCCAGTCTGGCCATAGCAGCAACATGTTGTTAATGGATCCAAAAGCTATTTATTTATTAAAAATATTTCTCTACTCATTTCTTTAGAGAAACCCTAAGCTGCTATGAAATAAAAGAATAAAAATACAGCTCGCACCCAAGAGTTTGAGAAGATAAACAAGTGATTAAATGTGGAGGTGCTGTGGAGAAAATAGTGAGCTAGACTTTTCTTTTTTTAAACTTTGTGCTCACTTGCACACCTTATTCTCTCTCTTAATTTGTGTGGTCTCATGCATTACTGATAACCATATCTCTCAAGTTACAACAATTAGACTTTGGCTGGCCCTGTTAGTGGTCCACATTTACACATGGACACACATACCTCAGGGAAGGTTGTTTTAGTATCTGGTCAACAGGACTTGTATTTTGTTTCAATGCCAGCTTGAAAACAAAACCAAATACATTTCTTTTTCTTTCCAGTTCGAAAGGACATAGTTCATATTCTCTCAGATCTGGATGTTGAGGTCAAGGATATAACAGACTGTTACGATATTAGCTCTTTCCTTCAGCCACTTTCTTTGGAAGATATATTTGAGAGAACAAACAAAGACTTTCCTATGGTTGCTGAGATAATGGAAGGGCCTTCGGGAAGCCAAAAACCTTATAACTTATTGTCTACAGGGAAAGAGATTGTCATCTACAAAAAGTACCAGGCAGCAAGAGTCCTAGCCTCTGAGATGAGAAGTGATTCCTCCAAAAGACATTATTTAATCCCTATGAGCTACAAAGGAAAGTTCAAGAGAAGACCTCGGGAGTTTCCAACTGCCTATGACTTAGAGATAGCAAGAAGTGAAAAAGAACATCTTCATGTTGTGGCAACTAAAGCCTTTTCTTCCCCTTTTAAAGAGCTTTTATCTGTTTCAGTTGGAGATCAATTTCTAGTTCAGCAATGCCAGACTAGTGAAGTTCTGTATGAGGGAAGAAAGAAACTCATAGATGTTTTAGCTTGTGAGCAAATACTTAGTGATTCACATAAAAAAGTGCTCCTCCCCATGTACATGGAAGGTGGCTTTGTGGAAGTGATTCATGACAAGAAACAGTACCACCTCTCCGAGATTTGCAAAGAATTCCATTTGCCTTTCAATGTCAAAGTGTCCGTGAGGGACCTTTCCATCGAGAAAGATGTCTTGGCGGCCGCGCCTGGTCTTCAGTTTGAAGAAGAAATCACAGACTCTTACTTGCTGATCAGTAGTGCCAGCAGTCCAGCAGAGAGCTGGGAGATCCCTGTGTATCGCTTAAACATGCTGGTCCATTTGCTCAGCAAAGATGTCCAGACAGTTGTACCGCCTGTGACTAGGACAACAGTGGAAGAAGTCAGCAAAGAGGAATACTATATGTTGCGAAGATATGAAAACCTGACCCTTCATCCACCACCCAGGCCTCCCAAAAAGCCTACAGCAGCACCACCACCACATATTTTTGCAGTGCCCAAGCAAGGTGTGTCTGATGTACTACAGGCTCCAAAGGTAAGGTATCCCGCCTTGTCTTTGAACGTCTTACAAGCACAGGTCATGTTCTGTGGGTTTAAAGTCTTCATTTCTCTGTTGTGTCCTTATGGCACACACACAGATGGCTCTCAGCTCCCTGTAATAAGCAAATTAGCCATTACAGACAGGAATGGCTAAAATCTCCAGTGTGTGTTAATTGATCCATGAAAAACAACGGAACCATGCCGACTCACAGCAGAAATCTTGGCTGTATAATTTTGCACTGATAATCCTTTACTGCACCATTGTGAAAGTGAAGGGAGAGATTTGAAGTGCTTGTATTTAAATCTTTATTAAGGGGAAGCATATGTTTTCATGATGTAAAGATAATTTTGCTCAGCTGGAAATTGCAGAATTAAGTTCACAGAGAGGTTGTATTGAAATTTTTGAATTCATTGTTTTGCACTTACCCAAATGGGAAATAGGTTGGATTTTTATTTTTATTTTTTTTTTATTTTTTTTTAGAAAAAAAGAAGCATTTTTTTTAGAATAGAACTTGATGTTAAAAAAGAAGTGCCCCTTCTAGGACAATTTTCTTCATGTTTAACTTACTAGGACAATGCTTTTGTTCATTTTTTTTTTTGTTGGGTCTGGCTGAGGTGGAGTTGATGTTCTTCACACCAGTCTGTAAAGTATTTTTTTATTTTTGATTTAATCAGAGTTGATAACACACCAATCTTTTGGCTATTTTTCATCCATGCACCCACAGCCTCAAGGACTTCTTGATTTCCCAGGCTTCCCCAAAGAAGTTGGCTGGGATTGGGCAAGACGCTGGGAGAGGAGATAGGTTAGAGAGCTGACCCCAGCTGACCAAAGGGATATTCCGTGACACATAATACTGTGTCCAGCAATAAAAACTGAGGGGCTGATTTGTCTGGGAGGGCAGCCATAATTCAGAGACTGGTCAGACAAGAGTCTTCTTGTCAGAGGTTGTGAGTGACTGCCTTTGCACCACTGTTTTGGGGTATTTTTTTCCTTTCCTTCATTTATTAAGCTATCTTTATCTGAACCCATGAGTTTTCTTGCTTTTTTTTGCATTAAAAAAGCATTTACTATTATTACTATTATTATGCATTATTATTACTATTAGTATTAATACTATTATTATGTATTACTACATCTTACTATTCTCTCTCCTGATGAGATCATCATCCCGATGTCAGGGTGGACTGAGCACTCTGTGTTGTGATTGCTGTGCTTTAAGTACAATGTAACTCATGTAATTATATTTTGGAGATTCAGAGGAGGTTCTTTTTTTGTGTGTTGGTATGAAACTAAAGTTGAATTGCAACCACTCTGAAAGGGCAGTGTTTTTGAGTACCTCTCTTTGCCTGATGAAGGTGTTCTCCTCTCATTCCCCAATTCCAAGACCACATGCAGGTCCAAATCTCCATAAAAATCCTGGGAGATGGTTAGAACAGTCCATAGAAGAATTGAATGGATAAGGTAGCTCCCTAATATAAAGTTACTACAAAAAAATAAGGTGCATCATTTTCTCCTGTCTTTACTACAGAAATGTCTTTCCTTCTCATTTTTACACTGAATACTGAGCATCTCAAATAAGACATGCAAGGAAATAAAACATGCAGGGAAGGATACATGAGAAACTTGTCCATGGATCTAACAGACAAGGAATCACCCTGGTACTGGCCAGCGGTAAGGAACTGGGGAAAATTCCCTAAAGCTGTGTTTCTGGTCAATCTGTACCCTTGTCAGGAGGATTCAAACCTCCTGCAGTTACTGATGGCTGTGTATGCAGAAAAGCAGGTAGATACTGACTACAGATCAGGCTCATGCAGAAGATATTTTCCTAAAGTGAGAAGAGAGCGGTAAGGGCAGAAGAGGGGTGAGCCAACGTGATTTTGAACATTCATAAGTGAGAGCAACCTTAGACTACAGCTGTCCAGACAAAGGAGATCATTTAAACACTGTTTCTTAAAGACCCTATTTAATTTTTTGCGGGGGCAGGTACCTGTGTTAAATAAATAATAAACTGCAGTCAAAATGCTTGAAGTTATGCATATGGCAAATCTCCTCCCCTGGGAAGGTGAAAAAAGTAAAGATCCCTTATTCACTAGATTAAACATCCTGAGCTGTAACATATTGTGTTTAAAGTCACACAGAATGAATTATCTTTTCTATCCTGAGCACCATGAGTCCTCTGAGAAGACGTGGATGGTAGCAGCTAGGCTCTGCCTTGTCCTCATTGCAGTGCTAGGGGAGATTCTGTTTTCTTTTTAAAAGTATCAGGAATGTCTGAGGGTTCAGAAAGTCAGAAACTGTGCCAAACAGATAAATATCCGTCTTTGCATATTTTGTGACTATGCATAGGCTTATTTGCATAAATAACAGATGAGCATCCTAATAAGCTGAACTTAAGCCTGACAAGGTGGCAGCCTGGGATAAGCTTTAGTGCTGCATGAGTTGCCACGCTTCTCCTGCAGGCAGTTCCCTGCCTGGTCCTTGGGGAGCTCTGGCTGCTTGCTGGAGAGTGGTGAATGGTTTCCTTGCACACAAGTTGGGAAGCTCTGCTTGGTTTGGAGCTCCAGGATAAAATGCTGCTGCTGCATGTGTCCACAGAAGACTAAGATCTGTCTGGTTCTTGACAATACCTGAGGATTATCTGCAAGTGTGGGTCACCTTTAGCTACAGCCTGTGCTTTGATTGCCTCAGCTCACAGCAAGGATGTGAGAGCAGAGAGGCTCCAGCTGTCTGTTCCTGCTGTTCTCTGACCTTGGTAAGGAAACTCTGAGCCCAGGAGCAGGACTGAATGCTTCACTGCACACTTTTTGGTCATGTCAGTCACTGGATTGTATGAGATTGGCATCCAGCATGGACTGGAACCTCAGGCAAGTGTGAGAACTGCCTCTGCTTGTGTGCAAGGTGCAGTGCTGCAGAGACATGGATGTCTGCACAGTTCAGCAAAGTCCAGAGACAGCAGAGGAATCCTCAAACATGATACAGCTGTATTAACCAAGCACTCTGCCCTGTCTCTTCACAGGGCTAATTAAGTTGGCTCAGCTCCTGCTGATACAGCTTTCACTTCCAGAACCTGGGATCTCTCCTCTCCCCACACAGCATAGACTTTCCCTTTCCCTCTCATATGGACATTTTGTTTGAATAAGAAACATCCAGACCACATATGTTTGCAACTTGCTAATTGAATTTAAAAAGACAAACCCCAAGAAAATGCATGTAAACTAAACAAATGGAAAAAGAATAGCTTGTATAGAATGATGAAAATAATCTTATACTTCATACAGAAGATATCTATCTAATATTACTAGATGAAAGCACATATTTATCCAATAGCCAATACCTCTACCCACAAGCACCCCCAGCTGAGGACAAGGATGACATAGCAACTTGTATCCTTTGTCTATCCTATGGTAATATGTATTATAAAATTCATCAGAAATCTACATTCTCTTTTCTAGAATCATTTGAGTGAATTTTGGTGGGGGTTTTAAATGACATGCAGAAAATGGTAAATGGTCATTCAGTTTCTGATTGGTGAGCTTATCTAAGAAAACCCCAGAAGTTAATGGTATTGATTTGAGAATGGAGCATCGTTCCTGCAGAGTTCCTGTGGGAGTACTCAGTCAGGACCTCACTTTCTTGAAATGAAAATTCATATAAAGGGGACAACTCAGTTGTGTCTGTTTTTTCCACACATTAGGAACACCACTGCAAATATGATAAACCAAGTTTTCACTTAGTAGCTTCCTTGAAAATAGTTTTCTAACATTTCCTTTTTCACCTGCTCGGAAACCTACTGTTTCCTCCCCTTCAAGAGGATTCAAGCAGCAAAAGTTTTCTAGCCTTCTTTTTGCCTGTCAGTTCAAGCAGTAGATATCCTACACATTTAAGGTGTTAATCTATGTCCCTCAATGGTTTTATATTAAATAGAAACAAAAAGTCCACACCAGATACAGATAAATGCAATCTTAATCAATACATGGAAAGCCACAATTTAACCTTGTACTCCTAAGACCATCAGTGCACTTCTTAAGGGACAAAAAAGGCAGTATTTCACTCCTGATAAGGAGTAAGAGAGGTTAGTTCCATCCAATGCTATTATCAATGGTCTCTTTAGTCATGTATCTAACCTGAGCAGCAGCAGAATCAGTAAAAAATCCACCAGCTGGATTGCTTCTAAATAACTTTATGAATGTGGAACTGGAAAAGTCAGTCACAAGCAGTAATCTGCTCATCTCTGGCAAGAAAACTGAGAGAATTCCAGCCAAGGAAACTGGAATTTAATAAAATAGGAGCATCAAGGCATGATAGTTAATCGTCATTTTGTGCTAAGGTCCATTATCCTTTCAAAAGTCATTACAGTGTTAAGATACCAAGAACTTTCTTGCTTTCTTGCTTTTTATTTCAAAATTAAAATGAAAGAAAAATTATCACTTCCATCTGGCTTTGCAGTTCTACAAACTGAGCTATCAAAATCTGCCATTAACATATTTATCGCATCTGTCTTCACAGCAAAATGAAGACTTATCTGGAATTAAGTTGATAAGACATAAGCTGCATTTCTCTGCAAATGAGTTTTCCTGTAGTATCTCCTTTCCTTCCTCATAACTTTATTTTCTGCTTCCAGAGCATTTTTCACATTTTTGGCTCCTTTATAGAGTAGATTTAGCACAAATATTTCTGCTGTGTAGCAAGAAAGTAACTTTCCTAAACAAAAGCATGTTAGAAAATGCACACTGGACAGCCAGGAAAGAACAAATAAGAACAGACTTCTGGAATTAACAGTCTTCTGGCTCTAGAAATGAGGAAGAAAAAAGAGGTTCATTAGCAGATGCAGAAATATGCATATGTAAATATAAGGAGGAGGGTTTCTCTCTGATAGGTGTGGCACTGTGTTTGCTGATGTTGCACCTGTGTTTCTTCTTCCTCTTGTTTTTCCTTTCCCCACAGAAGAGTATGTTTCCCATTCTCTGGAATCTCACATTCCACTCTCTCTTCCCCCCCTTTCCCCACATTCTATTGTTTCTCCCTGTCATTTTCCA